TAATTTCCGTACTATGTAACACAATACCGCTCGACTTTCCGAGTACGAACATTTAATTAACCGTTGGTGTCTAATAGGAGACCTACGATAAAGCAGCATGGGCACGTTTAATGGCATAATTATGCGATTATAATGGAGCCAATTAACGATCGAACTATGCTTTAACAGAGTAGAGGCATCGAAACTCCAGCTATGGAATTCAACTCTATGTTTAACAAATAAAAAAATCATTTGAATCATTAAATATAATAATTATATTTGTGCTAAATTTATTTCAAAGCAGATTATTGATAGAATCTTTCAGTTTAATAATAAGTATTGATATTTCAACATAGAAATAAGTACAATCTTCTTAATATATGATACAAGATGTAAATCTTGTTCTTGTAATTTTATCATTGGTTTAATTAAATGTTAAAAAATTTAGCAGGAAACCTGCATTGCAAAATCAATTAGGTAACAATTAATATCGTTTAATGTCATCAGTCGAGCAGCTAATATATTCACTGCGAACTGCGTTTTTGGACAAAAACGGATGCTCGTAAAACAAATTTGCACATCCCGCGAGAATATCAATTGGTTGCTGGGAATTGTAACGAATCATGCAATTGGCGATGGTATAAATTATCAGGCTCCTAGCTCGTTGGAAATTTAACGGATAATCGCAGGGATTGCCGAATTGTGGCTCGAATTCGCGTGACGCGCATGAATAATGGGCTTGAAATTGCATGTCGGATCTACAATAATGGCATCAATAGCGTAACGAAGATATCTTTAACAAAGATATTATATGCTTTTCTGGAATATATTTTAACCAGTCTTTAATTATTACACTCACATATTTATGGATCTATTTATGCATCTATTAAAATAAAACCAGCAAATTGGCGATATTTAAAATTTAATTTAATTTTAATTAATTAATACGCGTGTGTTCATAAAAATTCAGTCGTATATATAATTTTTTTAATTGTAAAAAAAGGTATTTAATGTTGTACAGAACGCTTTTATCTATAATTTAAAATAAAAGTGAATGTATTAATTAAATTTTAACTTATTAACGCACGTTTAATCTTGGTTAATATTGGATAATAAAATTATACCTCGATATTAAATAGATTTTGGTGCTTTTAGTCAAAATTTTCGCACGTACTTGCCCTTTACGCATTAAAATAAAATTGGTGAGTCTTCCTAAAGGGACGTTTCACTTATATAGTAGAATTTTGTCTCATTTTTCACTCACGCACTTGCAGAGAAATTAGATTGCGTATTTTGATTTCTTCTGTTTTATATATTAATGAATTAGACATTCCATTCTAGTACAATTTATGGAGAAATAACTGGGTGCGCGTAAAGTGTTTTAATTAAAAATTTTTACACTGCACTATGTGGCGAGCTTAACCTATTAACACACACTCGAAATGGAAGCATTAAATTTGTAGCTATCATAATGGACGAGTAGCTTACTGGTGTACATCGTAATCTCGTTTTCCACAATAGCGTCCAACAAAAAGCCATATTTAAAAGACTCGCGCGTGTATGGGTGTATATATTCGCATGAACTTGTTCAGTCACGTAATGGAATAACGGAAATTAAAATACTACCCGCAATATGGAAGTCGTGGAACTACAGATATATTACGGTATAATATTACGATATTCAGTTTTATTCAGTTCTCAAATATTCCTTCAACATTATAATCCAGTGCCACAATCTCCGTAGCCAAAATTATAACCGTGATTTAATTTCTACCATGCATTATTCGCGATTTAATCTTCAATAATTATTTTGTAGGAAATAGAAG